AGTCCGAGTACTCTAGGTCGTGTGCTCGCACTATTAGACGATGGATTCCCGCTAATAGTAGTTACAACAAGGAATAATTTCGTTGTAGTAGAAGATGATCCGAGGATCATCCGGATGAAATCAAGCTATGTGCTTACACTCGTTAGACGATGGATTTTCGCTAACAGTAGTTACAACGAGGGATAATTCCATTGTAGCAGAAGGTGATCCGCGGACCACCCGGATGATAAATAGAGTAGACCGGCTAATACCCGTGGTACCCGAGATTAAAATTTATGAGTATGGTGGGAAGTCAAAACAATATTGCATATCACGTGCATCACCCTACTTACCGAGCTTCGGCTCACCCTATTGTTATTTTTATGTTGTGACGGAAAAAGGATAAATTAGTAAGGATGTGGTCGGCTCCTCCTAACCGGCTCATGTGAGGCACCATATATTAGTTTTTATTTTATCTGTAAATTTGGGGTATAGAGTTCGTGAGAAATTAAATATTGCTCGTAATGTTTTATTAATATATTTAATTATGTGATGTAAATTTTATCTTAAGGAATTATATATGTAATGTCTTCGTTAAAGTTTTAAAAATATCATAAGAGAACTACTTAGAGTTTAGGGTATGTCAGCGTAACGCGTTTCATCTAGTACTCTACTTGGGTAGTAGAAATATGATCGAGATGAAGGCGTTACAATAGTTCTCTAACTAAATAGATGAAGGAGGAAATGCAGCTAACTCATATTATTAATGCATCACTTAACTTCTATTATTTTACCTTTTTTTTCTTTTCATAACTCTTCTAAATATAATCCCATGCTCTTTACAAATGGAATGCTAAAGAGAATGAGATGTCTAAGACTATAAGATTTTTATAAATATAATAAATAGCCTTCTAAGTGAAGGATGTAGAGGTGCGATCCATTTGAGTGGAGATGAAAGGGATATTGAAGATCGTCCCAATAAGTTTTATAAGACATTCAAAGGAACTTATAGGATAGTTAATGCCCTTTATGATTAGGAGTTGGAAATCTTGGAGGATGTCTATTTCTTTAACGAGTCTAAGAAGGTAGACATTGACCTCTTCCAATACTTTCCTAATAAATCAATTTCGACTTTGTATAGCTATTCCTTTTTTTTTTTTTTTATCATCGGTTGCTATAAAAAGGAGAAATGTCTTTGGAGATTGGGTTCTTTTTTTTTTTTTTTACTTGAGAAAAAATATAAGAGTGGAGGTAGTGTTATCCCTCTTATTCCTTCTTCTCTTACGGACTAGCCTCCAATATTTAATAAGTGATTTATCTACTAATTTCTACTCATCTTTCTTCTATTTTACATAAAGCTTTAGCTTCATATATAAAGCATCATACATCCTCGAGTGTTGGGAAGAGGGAGGCTTTAAAGTAAGCTTTAGATTTAAAGATAAAGTAAGTTGTGCTTCTTTATAATCGTTTTGCCTTGGTTTTATAGAGTTAGTTGTATTTTTATTATTTAATAAAATTATGTTATTCTTGCCTCTTTCTAATCTCTCTATCATTATTTAGTAAAGAAACATCGTTTATTAAGATCTAATTATTGAACACAATCTAACATTCCCAATCTTCTACAATAAACTTGGTTACTTTATTTAGAGATTTTTCTATATTTAATAAAGGATTCCTTTTTTCTTTTTTAATACCTTTTCTTGTTAGTCATTTGCATCAAAAGGGTTAGTTGGCTCGAATTTTCCATGCATGTTGTCTTTGTTGGAGCATTTGTTTTGAGTTTACGACTTTTGCGTCTTAGATTGAATTCTTGGATAGCAATTTTTAAAGTCTTTATAACTCGACTATGATTCTCGATAGATCTTAGATCTTAAAAAGTGAAGACATGTGACTCTTTTAAGAATTGCTCTTTTAAGAACAAGGTCATATGTTTCCTTTATAGTAACAACTTGAATTCATCCTTCTTTATTTTCTCTCCAAAGATGTGGTCATTTGTTCCATAAAGAATACAACCTTAAAATTTTCTAGCGAATGTGGTCGTTTGTTCTTTGAGGAATATGGCTTTAAATTTTTCTCATAAGAGAATATGATTGTCCATTCCTTGAGGAATATGACCCTAGAAGTTTTCCAAAAGATGTATGGCTATTTGTTTTTTAAGAAATATAGTCTTGATTTGAAGCGGCGAGATTTATACTAGAAGAGAGATTTTCAACCACTATTATATATACATATTTAGAAAACATCCATAAAAGGCTTATTTGGTAATACTTTATGTCACGACTATAACATTTAGCACGTGCAATAAAATTTCTAAATTATGCTCCTAAACTTTAAACGTCCTATCGCTGGCATTGCTTCGTCTCTAGGTTGGTTTTTTTGTGTATTCGAAGATCAACTTGGTAGCAATTTGGTTTCATTTCTACTCTATTTAGGTTAGGGCCTTTCCTTAAGAATTGTTTGAGGTATCCCCCATCGATTAATCTTATGATCTTTCTTTTTAAAGAATAACAATCTTTCATATCATATTCTTTGTTATGATGATAATGGAAATATTTTTTCTAATTACGAATGTATGATAGACCTCTTATTAGAGAGGGTGATTCACATTTTCTTATGTGTAGATGGCTGTAAACACCTTTGTTCGGGTTATATTCGGGTCTCTTAGGTTTTTTTTAAGACTAAAATAAACTTGTAAAGATCTTTCTTTTTCATTTTTTCATGGGTTTCTAAAAATAATGGTGTGTTTCCTTAGTTGTGATAGCTTTTTCTATTCAAATATGGCTTTTCATAATTTGTTTCACCCAATAGAGGTTCTTGTTAGGGAGAGTGTGGATTTTCTCTATAGGTTGAAATCATTGATTCACTTTATAAGAGCTTTTATCACTATTGGTTCTAGTAGCACGTCAACTCTTAGCATTTCCTTATAGAAATAGGAGAGGTATGCTTTAGTGCTCTCTCTCTTGTTGGGAGATCAATAAAAAATCGACCGAACTTCTTTTAAGATACTTATGGAAAAAAAGATGATAAACCAAGAGCTAAGATATTTAAAACTGAAGATGTATTAAAGATCCAAACTATTATACCATTTTGTGGTTTGCGTCAAAAGGTAATAGACAACACTTTACAAATGATGCTCGTTCCTTGTAATACTAACTCAAGAGTCCCCCTCACATTCCGTATATATTCTCTAAAAAAGTTGATCCATCATACATATTGAAGTTCATCTTTCTCAAGATAAACTCTTTGGAGAGTCTAGTGTTTAGATTATTAAGGGGTAAGAGGAGAGCCTTCGACTTGTGGCTATAGTATTTTAGGTCCGATTGGGTAAAGATTACATGTTCTCTTTCTACACATTGGTGCTTTGGTTTAGGACTCACCGAGGACGTTTTTCATGTCGATGTTTGCTAGGACTATGTCTATTTCTAGCGTTGTGCTAGTGCTCGACCTTTACTCCCTTTCTTTTTTTTTTTAACAAGAAACTTGACTCATTGGTTCTTTACCATGGTGACAAAATGGCTTTTTTAGGGTTCTAAAGAGTGGTGATGCTCTCGTTCACTAGTTTTTGTATCATTCTATCCCTTTTCCCTCTTTAACAAGACATTAATCGCATATGTCTATATGTGAAGAGGAATGTGTTCCCTATATGCATGATGTAATACTTGGTGGTGTGGGAGTTTCTAGAAATTAAGCACGATTTAGTGCTTGTGGCATTAGCGGATGTGTGGTTAATGCCTTTATTTTCTCCTACACCATTATAACGCTTTCGTGAGGTTTTGGACATATATTGGTACAAATGGATGACGTCTATGGATGGAGTACTAGGATTGGCAAAGTCTAATGATGTCGCGCGACCTAAGGTTGCTTAATTATCGGCCATGTGGAAGAGCTTAAAGAATTGAATTTTAAATATAGAATTTGGCTTTTTGCTTAGTTTTCCATATACGAGTGCCAATCGATGAGTCCAAAAAATTCGAATAGTGATTAATGATTGTATAACTCTTTATGGTTGAAGATTGACAATAAGGATTTGTGGCTTAAGGAGATCCTTCGCTCAAGCTACTTATAAAACAAGTTCCTTTAGTGGATTAAGGTATCCTTAAATGGCAAAGTCAATGATCAAAGAGATGAAATGCCCGAGTAGACTTTGTATGTATCTCTATGGAGGAAAGAGATAATGACTAATAATACGAAAGAAAGAGTCGGATAGGAATCGAAACCCTTGGTGTCCGTGATTCTTATATAAGTGAGACTTCGTTAAGTTGTAAGATAAAAGAGATAGAACGATCTATTTTCTAGTTATTGACAATCCGTGATGCCAAATTAGGAGTCTCATGTTCTTTTTTGATGATGATTTCTTCTTTGACGACATCAACATTGTCATAATCGGTATTGATCGGACAATAATAGTTTTGAAAAATATATTCATTAAATGTATGCTTTTTTTTAGTGTAATAATAATAATAATAATAGATAAAAAGCATTATCTTTATCAGAATTTGATGTCTAGAAAAATCGGGTAATGATGTCCGGTTGAGACACTAGCCAATCATTGGTTGATTGATGGTTTTAGCCGAAAATGCTACCCTTGAGCAAGGTCTTCTTCAAGATACCCAAATACATTCGAGCTCATTACAATCAGTTTGGTTATTCGTTACCAATTTAATTGAGAAAATCTTCACCTCCTACTCATCAACTCACCCTGCAATGCCATTCATAGCTTTGACGCATTCTGAAACATACATAACAATCAACAGGATTCACACAAAAAAAAAAAAAAATAAGAAAAAATGAGCGGAGTAAATAATAGAAAAAGTATGCGGATATATAGATAGAAATCTAACGAAAATCTAACTTCAAAATATGATTGGGCCCACATAATTTTAGTGAACTCAAATACAAACTATGCCAGTTATCGAAAAAATGAAACTCGACATATGTATCAGAGAAAGATACAAGGTTAGATTCGCAGTTACTGGAGTGGCGCGGTAAATTGCAAAAGAAAAGAAAACCTGAAGAAAAACATGAGGAGTAGTCAAATAAGGGGGACCCAATTAACACCAACATCCACCAGTCAGTTGGGAGCTGAGACCAAGTGGGCTCACAGCTGTAAGTAACCATTTGCTTGGTACTAGCTAGCTAACGTAACATAACTAGTGCCATCTTCGTACTCACCAGCTGTAAGCCCTCTAGCCACTGCAAGTAATGTTATTTTTTTCTGTTTTACTATTCAATCAACCAACAGTAAAAGCGAAATGGTTGGCCTTCCCCTTCGAGAGATAACAGTGAATTTTCATTGTCAGCTCTCTCCCTTTCGCCTGGACGAGGCAAAATAATAGAATGTAAAAAGAACTGTTTATTTCCACGTGTAGATCCATAGGCTTGCCACGTATGTCATTGCCTGTTACCTAAGCGGAGACCCCCAGTTTGGGCGCACGTGCGAGGGCTCAGGCGTGCGTAGTTAGCCAGCGTGGGCAAAAACAAAACGTGGCGACCAGAGATACATGGGCGCGAGATGTTGAGTAATGAGCTGGCATGACACGTGGCGAACGTACAGAAACTGTGGGCTAAGCTAACCAGTAGTAGTAGTAGAGTTGTAGTAGTAATATCTCTCCTCTCTCGTCCTTCTCAGTTCTATGTTCTTACACTAGCCTTTCCTTACCTACCCTTGAAGTATGGAATGAGTGATATTTGTCTCTTGGGTTTTATTTTTAATTTCTTTCTATATTTGGGTTTTGGGTTATTATGGATTTTGATTTAGAGAGATGTTCGGTTTCGAGTTCGGATTCTTCTTCGGCGGCGGATCGGATAGAGCTGGAGGCGGCGGAGGCTTTGGCTGATTTGGCACATTTAGCGATGCGAGAGGGCAGCGGTAGTGAATGGGGAAGCAAAGGCAAACGCGCTATGAAGCGAGTCAGGACCGAGTCTGACTCCGTCTCCACCTCTTCCGATCTCCCCCGGGTTCGTTTTTTAAATAATTTTTCATTTTTTCTCTCTAACTCTTTAAATAGTAAATAGTAGTATATTTTTGCTTTTTTTTTTTTTTTTTTTTAAAGTCAATTTTACTCATCCACCACTAACATAAAAGTGGTGTATAGTAAAATACCTAACAACTGAATTAATTAATGTGTTCTCAGTGTCTTTTAAATCAAGTCATTAGTCTAATCAGTAATCCTAATGCTAATGCTAATCTTATAGAATATTCTTCTGGAATTCACTTTTCAAAAATCTCATTGGGATCCACTTATTCAATGCATAAGTCCCATTTAGTGTTAAGATTAGCGTTACTGTTGTTTAAATTTGTTTTGCAGAACTAAACTGCTTGCCTTTGTTAGTATTTATTTGTGTCACCGAAAGTAGCACTATTGAGATGTGCTTTTGTTTATTGCAGGATGGAAATCAGCAGCATGGTGAACCAATACATAGAAATGTAGCAATAAATCCTCCAAAACAAGAGCTGGATGCAGATTTCCCTAAAACAAGTCCTAGTTGGGCAACGAGTTACCCATCATATGGCACTGGCACTGGCAAGTCAAGGCTAAATTTAACTGAGGTAATTATTAATTCCTGTGGTACTGGAATGTTGCTCCGATGCTTGGTCATTATAAGCAGCTGAATCTTTCCCACACAGGCTGAAAAGGAAGAACGAAAACTACGTAGAATATTGGCAAACAGAGAGTCTGCTCGACAGACGATTCGCCGTAGACAGGTGTGCTATGTTTGCTTGATTTGGTGTATTTTTTGCTTTGTTTAAGATTTAGCTAAGTGTTTCCCAATGATGAGACTATAATTTTTCGGCATTTACTGACATTCATTCAAGTTTTACTTTCTTTGTAGGTAATAGTGTTAAATTGGCATGTCTTAGAAGAATGTTCAGGGATCTTTATGAATCAGTTACTTGTATATCCTTTCGCTCATTGGGCCTACCTCGTTTGCACCACTCTAACCTGTATCTAGTAACTTGTGCTCCAAAGACCAATGTTAATAGATTGTCTTTCCCAGTCAAATGAAACTGCTGTAATAGAGACAAAATAAGAGGTCCAAAATTACATTGGCCATTAACTACTTAAATATTGTCCTCTTCGCATTATATTCCTTGCTCTATCAAATCTAGTTCAATTAACAAACACTTGTCATGATATATAAAATTTTCTGAGAGCGCAATTTTATGGGGGAAATAATACATTGCTCAAGTTTTTAGATTCTTCTGCTTTGCAATGAGACACGTCTTGCTGAGTGGGTTTCATGTGGATGTCTAATTATTTTCCTGTTCGTTTACTAAGATTTTGCACTCTTTAATCTCTAAAGTGGGTAATTTAGGTTTAATCATATTGATTTTCAGTTATTGTATTTGTCCCCTTGCTTCAGGCTCTGTGCGAGGAGTTAACAAGAAAAGCTGCTGATCTATCATGGGAGAATGAAAACTTAAAGAAGGTAGGCAATAGGCTTTTTAGGTTCTCCATTAGCTTTAGCATCTCCCAACAGGAGAGTTTTTTTCTGCATGTAAACATTTTGGTAATGGTCAAAGTTTTTCAAGTTTCAATTTCTTTGCTTTTTTTTTTTTTTTTTTTTTTTTGGCTTGCTTAAAAATTCACAATTTTATGCTAATATAAGCTTTTTCATATTTAATGAAATTTCATTCTGCATTCTGTGTAGGAAAAAGAGTTGGCCTTGAAAAGCTATCAGTCTTTAGAGATCACAAATAAGCACTTAAAAGAACAGGTGAGTTGTAGTTCACCCCCCAACCCCCTATATTGATTCTCTTGTTTTTTTCTGCCCCTTTTGGATCAAATCTCACGGTTGATCTTGACAAGACAACAGAAAATTATTTATCTTCTTGCTGTAATTTCAATCTTTCCAGATGGCTAAGTTAATAAAAGCTGAGGTGGAGGGATCTCCAGGAGACCTGAAGTCAGCCCTTGTTGACATACCTACTACTGCACCTACAAACTGCCCTTTGCTTGTATATAACCAACATGCATTTTCACCTCATTGCTGGCCTTCTATTATTCAATCTTCAAATCCTATCCAATCACATTATAGGACTCAGAATGCCATTGTAATTCCATCAAGCATCCCCATGCCAACTAATGGAAAACATGATTCATCACAGCTGCAACAAGAAAACGCTGTAATTGTTAGTGGCCCAAGGACACCCTTATATATAGTGTCCTGTCCATGGTTCTTTCCAGGTCCTGATCATGGGAATGGACTGCACGCGCAGCCTTCTTTTAGCTTTAAACACGTACAAGATGGAACTTCTGTGAATAATCTATGTTGTGGTAGTTCATCTCCAAAAGCTGCTGCACGTATGGAGAACCGGCATTCCTCTTTATCCATTAAAGTTAAATCAGAAACTGCTAGCTCAGCTGAAGGCAGGGTTATCAACGATCTAAATGAGACGCCAGTAGGATTTACCCGAGATGGAGGTGGTCAGTGTGAAGGACCTCACCCTAAAGAAATGATTCCTACTTCTCTACCTCTAACTTCTGTTACGCCTACAATAGCTGTTAAAGATGAGCCTGGGCCCAAGTCAGAGTATGCTTTCGGTGCTAATGGTATATGCACAAAAGCTAGTCATCTAATGAGTGTTTTACCAGAAAAGAATCAAGACCCATTTAAATTCCCGAGCAAGAAGCTAGTGGATGCAGCAGAGGCAGCAGAGGCAAGGAGGAGGAGAAAGGAACTTACAAAACTAAAAAACCTCCATGGCCGCCAATGTCGATTTAACTGTTGAGTCTTTGGCGTTGATTGGATGGTTTTCTGGGTTCCAGGAGCTTCAGCTGGTTGGAAATGATTTGGGAAGCAGAAGAGAACACCTCTAATTTACCCCAGAATAATCGATTAGTTGTTAAAATCTATGGGAACTATTATTAGGTTTTGAGGTTCCAAAGCTCTTTATTTGTCAGCTGAGTTGAATTTGGGGTAAATTTTGGTAGCCCTATTATTTGGCATCAGTAGCTTGACGTGATGAAAGCTTCTATAATCAAGAAGACAAAAATGCCCTATGCATGCAATCTTATGTTTTTTTTTTTTTTGTCTGTTGTCTGTGTTGGCAAGTTTGGTGTCGAAATGAGTAATTTAGCAAAGTGAGGGTGCCATTTTGATGGTCGGGTTGGAAAGGGCAGCAAAGCAGAGTTGGGTAACGGACTTCAATATTAGGTAATGGTTTGTAACATCATGTTGTAGACTTGTAGGATGATACATATATATAAATTTTTTTCTGAAAGCTCATTCATGAGTTTAGGCTTAACATTTTGAAACCTGTATTGTTGGTCGTTAAGGTTGTTCTTTCACTTTTCCTAGAATGATTGCTGGTACTTTTGCATCTTCTAATTATAACACTGTTATGGGCAAAACACGAAATATCCCCAAACCTGTTCTGGCACTGGTGTTCCAGCCATTTTTAAATGCTGAAACTTTTGTAACTAGAGTTTCTTGCAGACAAGTAGGGTTCTGACCCAATGCTATTAAGAGTCGAGAGCTTTTTCATTTTATTTTGGAATTGCCTGAGCTAGTTCTTAGAAAAATCTAGTCTAGTTCCACCCTAATTGTGTTTTCTCAGTGCTGCATGTGTGCTGTGGCAATTATTTCCGAGGAACATGATTCGGAAATTGATTTCCTAGTACAAGGCAATGAACCAAATGAGGATGATGGTATTAGACATTTTGGAAGTGCTGTGTCGATAGTGTGTGCATGATTCTGTTTGAACCTTCTTTCCAGTAAAACTTAAACAAGTTAACATTTAGGGTGCGTGGGCCAGTCCATTAGTTGTTTTGGGCAGTAGAGAAAATGCAAGGGAATTGCTGCTTCTCGTCAATTACTGAATCTTTATTTACAGGAAAAAATAGGAGAGTCAATGGAAACATTAATATAGGGCTATCTACTTAATAGGTAATTATAAATAACGAGCATACAGCAAATTTGAGTTAAAAAGTACGTGAGTACTATTCTGATGACTTGTAGATAAGGATCGGACTCCTAACGAAATGCTTCGAGTCGCTCCACTCGAGTAAAGCTGATAGAAACCGAGTCCCGTTTTGCATGGAACCACCCTCCACAAAAACCTTGAAAGAATGCTTTTGGTGTGTCCGGTTGAATGTCAAAATGTCCGGTACAATTTTGATTGATATACCCTTTGGTGATGTTACAGTCGCCTTATAAACTGAGTTATTTCCATACCCTACATCAGTCAATGTCCGGTAGAACACGGCGGAAATATTGGATTTGGCACTCGTGAGCTGGGTATGCATGGACGGGTAGTTGAGGCCGTCAGTGCCTTGTGCAGGTTTAAAGTCGGAGCACTTGTACTTTTTCTTGCCACCTATCAGTAGACCGATGGTTGTGCCATTGTAGCCTTCCTTGCATAGGAATCTAATGTAGGAACTCATTGGAATGTCATAGACAAGTCCAGGGTGTACCGCCTTTGTCGGGTTTATTTGCCCTGATCCAGATCCCAACTCTGCGTCGACATCTTTAATCTTCATAGGGGTGGCTGTAACAGCGAAGAGATGTATGGAATATCATTTAGAGAATGGTATTCATAGACAAATTTTCCTAGGAAATACAGTCTTATTAGAGTGTCACCTGTAGTCATGAGCGCAGACTTGATTGCAGCAGGTGACCAGTCGGGGTGGAAGGTCTTAACATAGGCGGCGGCTGCTGCAGCATGTGGGCAAGACATTGATGTTCCTGATATAATGTTGAATGTGGAATATCGCTTGTCACTTGGATCCCCAGTCACTGAGGCCAGTTTTGAGTAGGCTGCTAATATTCCCAGCCCTGGTGCTGCAATATCAGGCTGTCCAACTGAAAATTTTAGTATGTACGTACGTGAAAACTAAACATAAAAGAAACAGGTACAATGGAGGTTCAATTCTCACCCACCTTAAGGATGTTGAGGTTGATCGACTGAGGTCCTCTGGATGAAAAAGATGCTACAAAGGGAGCACTCATGTTAGTAGTTCTCGTCTTGTAGATAACAGCACGAGGGTTCCTGCAATTCATTCATAAAAAATGACAGAGAGATCAATAGCGTATACCATGTGAAAGCTTTTATATATTTTTCAGAAGCTAATAGCGGCAGAGAAGCAATAAGTGCAACTTATAGATGAATATCAGGAGTTTGATCAGAAATTAAGTACTTGGTGGAGTTGATGTACGCATCAATCTTGTAACCATCCTTAAATAGGACGCTGGTTCCAGGTATTGCAGTGGTGAAGGCCGTGTCCGTTGGTTCATCAAGAGACATGATCACTCCGGCTCCATCAAGCTCTTTTATAGTGTAATCCTGGCCGCTGCTCCCTAGGCAGTACACCAGTTTTCCTTTCACTTTGTCCTTGATTAGAGTCCCATAATCGCAAGCGCTATGATCATCGTTCAAAATACATACACTTAATTAGGAATTTAGAACACAAGTCAGAAACAAGCACCATGCCATCATAAATATGCAAGTACTTAGGATTTCCAACGGTGAAGAAAAATTAAGAAGGGGGGATATAAAATAGGACTTCAGTTTTGAAGTTGCTCACTTAAAAGGGAGTCTTTGGGTGCGTGCTTACCCTCAAGCATATTCCCAGACGCGTACCTGATATTTCCATAGTAATCTCCTGAACCATTGGATGCATGGGCTCCATCGATGAGAGGGTATGTCTCCTTTTTCGGTGAAAATGTATTGATTGAAACTCCCTATCATTGACCAGAACAAATTTGAATCTTCAGATAAGCTTTCTGCTGAATGGGAAAATAAATGTTCACGCATAGAGTAAGAGACAGACTCAATCCGCACAGATTAACTTACTGTAGCTTTCATGCCATTTCCCAGCTTAACTGCAGTTTTGAATTGCCTGTCAATGCTGGTAGCGGCAATTGTCATGATCCATGGTGCAACGTTTTCTACTGTTCCGGGGTAAGGCCCGTCATTCCCTGCAGAACAAGAAGTCAGTATTCCTTTCTTCATGGCATGGAACGATCCAATGGCGATCGGGTCTTCGAAAAAACTCCGGGGAGCCCCTCCTATTGAAACTGATATTATGTCGACCCCGTCAGAAATGGCATCGTCAAATGCAGCTAGCAAGTCCATGTCACTGCAACCAACTCCCCAGCATACTTTGTACATGGCGATGCGGGCTGATGGTACACCTCCACGTGCAGTTCCTTGTGCTATGCCATACAAGCTTGCCCCCCTGACAGCATTACCAGCAGCAGTGGAGGAGGTGTGGGTGCCATGCCCGTCTAGATCGGCTGGACTTGGGTTTTCTGGACCAATATAGTTCTCGAGATTGTAATACCTTGCACCAATAACCTTCCTGCCCCAGTTTAGAAAGTATTCAATATTAAAATCATTGAGAGGGGAGTTGATTCAAATCACGTCTAGCTCTAGCAATGAAGTTCATCACGAGGAAAGTAGTCAATAATGTTTAGCATTTTTTTGTTCTTTCATGGTAGACATTATTGACAAGAAAAACAGAAGGTAAATTATACTTGTTGCAGCCCGTGAAGTTGGCTCCCTTGACACATTTTCCCTTCCATTTTGCTGGGACGGGTCCATAACCGTCATCATTGAAGCTGGGAGCATCGACATAAATTCCTAAACACAACGTAGCATAGAACAATAAAATTAATATTAGTAAATCCATTTTATCTTGTCAAATTAAATTTTATCTGTCATCAAAATTAAGGCACACTTAATCACCCACCAGTATCCAACACACCCACTATGAGATTGCTCTCAATTTTCTGTCTTCTCTTCGCTGTTTGCGACATACCCAGAAAATCCCATGATCTTGATGTGTGAAGTCTGTTCCTAGTATTTGCAAACACTGACACTACACTATCTTCATCTGCGTCAGGTGCCGAATGTTATAAATAACTTGGACAAAGCAATATATATATATGCCTAAGTTGGATTGCACTTGGACAATTGATATCCTCCATCGGCAGTAGTGTGTGTATATATATATATACCTGATAGTCTCTTCACTTCGTGGGGCAACAACCATGCGGCAAACCCATTGAAGTTCTTTCCATAGCTATATATTTTGGAATTTTTGGCAATAGATTCCCTGAAAATATCGATCATACATAACAGTTAGTGCTGTCTCATGGAAAATTTTTGCTTTACAAGTACAGAGCTACCTCCATCGTTTGTGGTTGTTGTTATTATTATTATTATTTTGGTAAATAAAGGGGCCTAAGTTCAAAATGGGAGTAATTAATCTCTAAATTAGTTTTCTCTATTTCAAAAAAATTAATTATTTAGACTTTTTAGTTTATTAATATTATTTTCGAATTATTTTTGTTTTTTTTAAATATGTATAAAAATAAAAAATAAATTGATATTACGGAAAGATGAATGATAAAAAAAAATTCAAATTAAATAATATTAAATTATGATTTATATTAGAAAAATGGAAATAGTCATGTTGTTTCGATAACAAATATTTTTGAATCAAATAAAATAACTTTTTTTATCTCATCTAATTTGTTGCAACAAAAAATAGCCCGTGACACAGGTTAGGACACAGAAATAAAATAAAATAAAAACTTTTCAGACAAAAAAAAAAAGAATATATAATTATAATATTAATAATTAATAATTAATATAATTAATATTGATTAGAAAACTAAATAGTTGATTTTTGAAATAAGAAGGACTACTAATCAATCATTTCTCAAGCTAAGAGATTAATTTATAATTAACTCCCTAAAATCGTTTTTGGTTGTTAAAAGTATTTAAATAAAAATTTTATTTTTCTTCTTTCAACGTGACTATTACTTTTTCGGGGGCTATGCATTAAATCAAAACTCAAGGTGCATTAAAAAAGAAAAAGATTAAAAGCGAACTCCGGTCAATGAAACAATTTATAATTTTTCAAAATAAGAAAAACTAACTTAAATCATAAATCGCACATATACTAAATTATAATTTACTTTAATTGGTTTTTGAAGTAATTTGCTCAGGGGCTAGCATGCAAGTTTTCTTTTTGAAAGCATGAAGCTGAAGCAACATTTTCCATCATGCATTTACGATTTTCTTTTTAAATTAAGAATTTAACTCGAATTATTGGTAATGCATTCATGTTTATGGTAAAAGAAAATAAAACTAGAGATTGAGATGAGGTTATCTTTTGGCTATAATTAAGGATTGTGAGTCATACTCTCCCGTAGCAGCCAAAAGCAGGTTGTGGTGTTCGTCTGACATCGATGTTCCCCCTCCACGCACTTCACCCATGTAGACAATGTACGGCTGATGATCCCAAAGCAAATAATTAGCCGATGGTACAATTAATTAGTTCTCATTATTTAGGCTTTGGTAATGCCTGTTTTTTAATCTAATCTCATAAAAATATTTGTACTGTATTCCTGAAAACATGATTATATTAAAAATAATGCTAAATTCATCAATTAAATTATTATTTTTATAATTTTTTTTAAAAAAATTATCAATACACCCTCTATCAATATTTGTTATATAATAATTATTGATAATTAGTAAAGAATATAGTAGAAAGTGCATTGGTAATTGTCTAGAAAAAATGATGAGAATAACAATTTAGTCAATAAATTTAACAATACCCTTATGTTAAACGGATTGTTATTAATGTTATCTTTCACCAATTGCATCCGTCAATATTATCTTTAACGATTATCAAATATTTTCAATTCCATCTGTACATCACTTGCTATCTAAATATGTCAAACTAAATCGTTAAACACTCAAGTGACAATTCCAAAATTTAAAAATTTAAAAATTTATCAAATTTAATTTTTAAAAAATAATGTTAAAAAATAATTTTGAATTAAAATTTTTAGAAAAATGGAATTCCATTTAAACTCGAAGTTGAAAAGAAGTAAGGAAACTTTGAATTAGAAGTTAAGAAAATTAAAAAATTTAATATAAAATTAAGAAAAATTGAATTTTTGTGTTTTTATTTTTTTTATTACTAATTTTTGTTCAATTCACCTTTTTTTTAAAAAAAAAATTCTAAATTTAGCAAAATTTTAATTTCTAAGTTGCCTCATCAATATTTAACTAATTTTGTTAGTGGATTTGGATGAAAAGTAGAGAGGGATTATAAAAATGTTAGTTAACATGGGTAAGTTTTTGTTGTAATTAACCCTAATAACAAGGAAAAGAGGAACAAGAAGAGGAAGAAAAGACATGAAAATGAAGCAGATATGTCTACGAATGCATGGCACCTAATTAATTACAATGTACTCAAGCGGATCGGAGACAGTACCTTTCTTTCATTGTCACTGGATGCATGAACCAAAGTAGCTACAAAATTGAAACCAAAGAGCAACACTAACAGATTTTGTGGCACTATCTTCATTGCAAGTGTCTTTCAGCTTAATTTGTCGCTTAAATTAATTAAGTGGAAATTTCTTGCTTTTAAATAGGTTGTGAGTAAAGGGTATTAAATCCCAACTGTTATTGCGAGCTGAACCACTCACTGTGTCAATTTCTCACAAAATATGCCTACAGAATAGATCCATAGCGAGGAGCAAGTCTTGAGAGTTTGGTGGCTTAGGTTTTGGATCTTCAGTCAGTCACTACAAACTTGTGTTGTTAATCATGACAACTAGAGTTGGTTTTGGGATTGGATCCTCTTCTTAATTGTCTGCATTGCAATAATTTAAAATTTTTGTGAGGACAAAAAAGAACTTGGATTCAATTGTAGTCTCATTTACTGAACATTAAAATTGTTTTTTGATTGGTCATCTGTTAAATAATAATAATAATAATAAAATTAAATCACCTCTGTTGGTATTGGGTACACATATTAAATAAAACAATTAACCCTTGCTATCGAATAAAAAAAATAGTTTAATTTGAGATTATTTGTTATTTCTAAGAATTATGAGAATAATTTTATAATATTAAATAAACTAATAATAAATAGTTAGTAATATGTGTTGGTGAACGTATTCAATAGATCGAGTGTGCAACATAAATTAAAAAATATTTTTTAAAAAATTTAAGTTGTAAGTAATATATTGAAGTTAGTAAATTATAATAAAAACTACTACAAAATTGATTTTAATATATTTTAATTATATAAAAAGTAAAAAAATATATATATGAATTTTTTTTTAATTGATTATTTATTGAAAAAAATCCTCCTATGCGGGTGGATGGAGGTGGAAGACTGGATCTGTGCACGGGAATGAAATTGGGCCAGTACTTTGTAAGGATGGAATAGAAGCCTGGCCTGGTTCAAATATGTAAGTGGACCAAACCCAAACATGCAAAGACAGAGAGATTGGAGAGACGCAATTTAATTAAATTCAGTTCAACAGGAGGAGGAGAAGAAGAGAAATTGTGTAGACTGTAGAGTAGAGCAGAGATAGTACAGAAAAGGAAAGAATGGAGAAGATAAAATGTGCAGTTCCGGAGAGTATAAAGCGGATGGTGGGAGAAAGTAGTGATGATGATCTTGCTTCCACATCTTCTACTCTTCTTCACTGCCTCCTTAACTTACCCCAATTTCAACGAGTAACTAACTAATCAGCTCGATTTGCTTCTCTTCTTCGATTCTTCTACTTCATTTTTTTTTTAATTTGATTTTGTTGTTTAGATGATTGATGATTTGGCGGATCCAAATAATGGTCTTTGCGGAAAGAACAAGGATGGTGCTTTGGAATTGAAGCAAAAAGGAAATCGATCTTATTTAACTGCAGATTACAACTCTGCTTTGGCTTCCTACTCCCAGGCACTCCGTCTTGCTCCAATGGATGCCCTTGATATGGAAAAAAATCTTGTTGCCACCTTATATCTCAACCGGGCTTCTTTATTTCATGTCAGTAATAAGCTGCTCTCATTTCTTTTTGTTTACTCAACTAATTCAATTTCATATCTTTTTATTTACTCAACTAATTCAATTTCCTGTTAACATTTTTTTGTTTAGAAAATAGGTTTTCTTACCGAGTCTGTTCGGGATTGCAAACGGGCCCTTCAAATTTCTCCAACATATGCCAAGGTGAATATGCAAATTAACCTTTTTATCTTTAAAAGTGAAAGAAGAGAAAAGTATGTTACCTGATAGCATTTTTCATCATAAGACGGAGTTTAAAATACTGTGGGGACAGAAAAATGCAGAACATGCTATCTGATGCATGTGTAGATGCTGCAGACTAGAATATGTTATGCGCATCTTAAATATGTTACCAGCATATGGCATTTGATCTGGCAGATTTTTTTTTTTTTTTTTTTAAAAAAAGAACTTATGCAATGCTTACAAAATCATTCTGTGTGAATCTATTGATTATTTAGCAAAACATCTAATGCTACAAGAACTGTAAGGGGTTTTAAGTGAGAAAAAGAAAAGTAGCCTTGAGAGAAATTCCCTTCTAGAGATTATTAAACTAAATCAGCTTCCTTTTCATGACTATTTATCTCAATTATGCTCCATGTTATTATTAATGGGCAGCCAAAATGAACAAGTTAGATTACTGTGTTGGTGAGTTAGATTTAGATTCAGTTAATTTGCCTTAGAAAGTATTTTATTTACTTGTACGGGATGATAAAGAAAAAGGAATGAAAATGATGCATTCAAAGGTTGTACGACAGTTATTGTGACATGCTATCTGCTAATCATAAAACCATTGCCGCATTGCTTCTTCTAAAGTCACTTCTGTTCATGTTATAATGTATCGTTACCTTTTTTTTAATGTTAATTTATTGTTTCTTATGAAAATCAGATTATGTGCTATGATTAATTTTAAGGTGGTTTTTGGGCTATTACAAGTTCTTGAACTTATTTTAATCGACAGAAGTTATTTTTCCTAAGATTTCTAGGCTTTTGGGGTTTCCATTGTCCTTAACTTTAGTTCTTTGATTACGTTTGTGTTATGGGTCTGTTTGGTGTCCTGAACTTCTTTCTTCAACCTTGGGGTAGTGAGAACCCACAATGAGATTTTCTTTTAAAAATCCTTTTTCCATGTGAAGAAAGTTAGCCTGAAAATGGCTGTGTGCTTCCTCCTAATTTTGGTCCTGGCTCATTATCTTTGCAGTTCCAATCCTTATACCTATTCACACAGTTTAAGAGGACTTTCTTTTGAGAATGTTATGAGCTGGATGCTAGCTAGTATTCGCCATCTCCAAATTTAGCTTCTTTCCTGCAGGCATGGTATAGGAGGGGTAAAGTAAATGCTGATCTAGGAAATTATAAAGATGCTGTCAATGACTTGGACAATGCTAAAAGTTTTGAGTTGTCATTGGACGGAAAGAGGCAGATAGAAACTGAATTAAACATAATTATAGACAGACAGAAGCACACAAGCAGGACATGGGTTGGGGAGAATGAGAACTGCTCCGGACATTTTGGTAAGACCTTTTAAGCTTTTCAGCTAGCCAAATATTTCAATCATGTAATCTGTGCTTGGGATGATGTTATGCGTCCCATGATCTTGTAGTCGAAACTGAATTCTTGTTTCTTAAGAGTTTTATTCCTGTTTTTGGTTTAATATTTTAATTCAAGTTTAATGACCTCATGAATGAAAGACTCCTCTATGCTGAGCATGCGAGGCTTTCCCTCTCTTGTTTTCATTATGATAAAAGTTTCAATAAGAGCCCTCTCGTTAAAATGCATCTATATAGTTGAGATAGAGTAATAATCAGTAATTTGTTCCCACATGAGAAAACTGCAGGATTTATATTCAGAGGTTAGTTCTTTCACATAAAAAAATTGACCACCCAATAATCAACCGTAGAGCTTGGACCTGCATGAATAGTTTCAAAACATTTTATCTGTGTGCTTAGTTTCTTTTTCGTAATTATTATGTTTATACCTAACTGATAATTTCACTGGTTTCATACAAGCACCATTCTACACTGCTGCCTTTTGACATTCTATATTCTAAGTTATTTATAATGCTACAAACACAATGGATTTACTTTCTCAATCGTTTGTTATGTCTGCATAATGCACTATATTACTGTTTATGCTACAGTGGTATTTTCTTGTTCTTTGAGCTCAAAAGCATGCTGGCTTATGAAATGGCTCATACTGGAATTGGCTATGCTATCATGATTCTAGCATGAACTTTTGGTCTTTATCTGTATTGCTTTTTCAATATGTAAGTTTGAAATGAAATGAGCATTTATCTTTTGCCACAGATGAATTACAACAATCAAAATTATCACGAGTCACAACACCAGATAAGGGAAGGGGCATGGCTTCACAATGTGACATTCCCCAAGCATCCTTGGTTCACAAGGAAGAACCTTACGCGTTGGTATGAGATTGATATTTCTTGTTGTTTTCTTTTTGTTATAAACAACTTTGGGTTAATATATGTTACTCATTTGCACTGATTATATTTATAGGATACCTATTCAATTTATTATCCTTAGAAGGAGATATTGAGAAATATGTAAACCTAGAATTAGGGCAGGATAGATACATGGAGGAGCACATATGAGTGTTTTATGTGATCAGAAAACTACATTTAACATTAAACCTACGAGGGCAATGAATCAGTTATGCTCAATTGTATAGAATTTTCACTAGTAAAGAAAAATATTCATGAAATGAGCATGTTTTAAATGCAGTCTCGTGATGTTAGTATAAAATTGTTTTTTTATAGTACTTCTAGTTGCCATTGGATGCACCACTTCTGCATTTTCCTAACGAGGAATATCAATTATAGTTTGCCCTTTGATTTGCAGATCATATTGAAGAGTTGCTGGGAAACAGTCATTAACATTAGTGTTTTATGCGATCAGAAAACTACATTTAACATTAAACCTATGAGAGCAATGAATCAGTTATACTCATTGGTATAGAATTTTCACTATTAAAGAAAAATATTCATGAAATGAGCATGCTTTAAATGCAGTCTTGTGATGTTAGTATAAAATTGTGTTTTTATAGTAATTCTAGTTGCCATTGGATGCACCGCATCTGCATTTTCCTAACGAGGAATATCAATTATAGTCTGCCCTTTGATTTGCAGATCATATTGAAGAGTTGCCGGGAAACACATTGTCATTACTGCTTGAATCAACTTCCAGCAGATCCCGTCCCCTGTACGGCATGTACAATACCACTTTACTGCTCTGAACATTGCCAGCTACCAGCTGGAGGAGAAGCATTCAGTAATTTTCAGGACAAATTTGGAACTGAGGGAAGTCACTCCCGCAGCCATGAAGAGCACATCGCGGAGTTTGCTTTATGCAGTGATTCCAATCCAGTTGAGTGCTTTACCGAACACAAACATGAATGTCTAGGTGTGCACTGGCCTGCTGTATTGCCATCTGATATAGTTTTGGCGGGTCGAATACTAGTAAAATCTACCTATCAAAGAAGTTCTATTGCATCTAACCTTCCTTGTGATCTGGTACATCTCATGAATCTTTGGTATATTCAGTAAGCGTGGTTTTTTTAAATTGAGAATTTGACTCACCATCTCATGGTTTTGTAGGATCTCTCTCACAGTTATTCACAAATTAATCCAGAAAGCAAATTGGAGCTGCATATATATGCCATTGTATTGCTATGCTGTCTGCAGCGCTCTCTTGGCTTTGAACTGACAATAAATGGAGTCTCTTTATCACAGGTTGTTCTTTTGTCTCTATCACTTTCTTGCAAACGATACTCAGCCAGATGAGCGCCTCTGGCTGTAACTTATTTGAAACTCAATTCAAAATGTTGAACAGTTACATTCCCACCCACTTGTCTATGATACATCTATTTGCATCCTTCAGCGAAGTGGCTTTGAACAATCACTCCTACGGCTATGAAGAAAACATCTATTTCTGCTATTTTATTTCGATTTTGGTTAATGGGTGCATGCACATCATGACAGTCAATGTAGAATCCAGTTTTTTGTCCTTTCATTGTTGTTTTGGTTATGGATCAGTGTATTGATTTGAAATTTTCCATGTGGGTTTGGCAAGTGTAAAGAACCTTCTGGTGTTATTCTTTATTTTTGATCCATTACTTTCATTTTGGTTGTGGTTAGCATGTACAACTATGGGTATTAAAGGTCAGTGTTGGTACAAGTGACAGTTGAATTTGGGACTGGTGTGTGAGTGAAGAGTTTGCATGATTCTAGCATGTAAGGAAGTTCATTACAACCAATATTTTCCATAGCTCCTTCTTTAGTGCTTTGCAAGCATATGAGTGCTTGGTAGGAGGTATAAAAGAACGCTAATGGATTGACAAACTTTTCATCTATCTAAAAGGATCTTGCCAATCGTAGTGTCCCTTGATGCCGTTGGTGATTTCTTTTCCAACAGTCTGTACTTCTTCACTTTGACATTTGACAAGTTGCAAGAGAATTCTCTTTGAGAGGCAGAGGTTAAACTGATGGAGGCTAAGTGTTATGTTCTTCTATTAAGGCAGGTAGGCAGGTGTAAGAGTTGGATACTTCTGTTTATGTTTTATTAGGAGATGGTCTTCGGTTTATGAGGCTGATTGAGAGCATTGGAGACAGTTGAGGGGTGTTAGGGCCTTGTGAGAGGCTCTTATCAGGTGGAGATGTGGAAAGGCATCAAAAGTGGTTAGCAATTAAGTCTTGTGTAACACTTTCTTTGTTTTTTCTGTTTGTCATCCTCTCTTTTATACCCATCTATTGCTTCTTGTGTATGTGGTTTGTACCTCACAACCTCGTTAATTTGTTTATTTTTCTAAATGTCAACATCCTTCATCATTTGCTTCGCGACGCTTGTGATGTCTGTTTGAAAACCTGGATCGTCATGGGGCATCAAAATTGTTCATGTGGAACTTTTAATGTTTGTTGGCAATTAGTTGGCAATTTAAGAGTTCGATGTGTGAGCTCTCCTTTTAAAATTTTTTGGGAAGAAAAAAGAATTAAGGTACTGGTCATGCTAAACTGTTTGCAATTATCCTGCCAAATGACTGTTAACCTGTTCTACATGCATTTTATTTATGCTATCTCTGTGTCATGCCTTGCAGTCTGTATTACTAGATTTGCATTCAAGATTCGCATGTTCTTGTTATCCTGGTTTCAAATTGACATCTTTATTGTCATGAACATGATTACTCCTTTTCTGTTTACATAGTTTGGACTATTGATACCTCGATCAATCTTATTTCATAAAATGAAAGCCGTTTGTTTTAAGCTTCCATTTCTTGTTGGAATGCAGACTATCATCCTTATATCTCAAATCAGGGTGAACGCTATGGCAATTGTCCGTATAAAATCTTCTGATGTTCATGATCCACCAGATCAGTCCAGAAAGCATAACTCTATTGGAGATGCTTTAACTAGTAGTGTGGAACAGGTTCATGGCTATGCTATCACACCCCCTTATGCTTACCAAGCTTTTTCATTATCTTTTGGTTGAGTGAAATGTTCCGTTGTCCATTGACTTGGTTACAAATCATACAGGTTGCCGTGGGTCAAGCTATATATAAAGCCGCCAGTTTGTTCAACCATTCTTGCTTGCCAAACATCCACGCATATTTTCTTTCACGTAGTCTATTTATACGAACAACAGAGTATGTGTCAACAGGTTGTCCCCTGGAGTTGTCCTATGGTCCTCAGGTATCACTCTTTTCAGCACCGACACGTTTCCTTCACTTACCTTTGTTTCCGATACAAGAATATTAATGTTTTGGTCATTTCTCCTGCAGTCATGTTATGCATAAATATGTTTCTCTCAACAGTTCACATACAAGTTGAGATAAAATAGAAAAGCTAGATGTCCAATGCTTACTTGTTGGATGGACCAATCCTCTAGACATACCTGCATGCACCTACTAGACATTGTTATTTTGCACATCTAAGTCTTGTCTTCTTCCAACTGCCATAAATTTCTGGCACAGTTTGTCTTCTTTTGTATTATGGAACACTTGAGCTGATGAAATAGTAGGCAGTTCAAAAGGTGAATGGGCAGTTGTGTTTTGTAGGTTGGGCAATTGGACTGTAAAGATCGCCTTAAGTATCTGGAAGATAAGTATTCATTCCAATGCCAGTGCCATGGTTGTTCACAATTAAATCTATCTGACCTCGTTCTTAGTGCCTTTTGCTGTGTCAATCCTAACTGTGCTGGCATAGTCCTGAAGAGCCCCATCAGTAATGGAGAAATACACAAATTTAAGAACTTTCCTAGAGCTCCTGCAGAACAGAACTTGGATACTCACTTGCAGGTATGTCTTTTGCTTCTTTATAAAAACCAGGACTCTAGCATCTAGTATATCACAAGGACATCCATATGCTGTTGCATTCCTGGAATCTTAATTTTTTAACAGTTGCACTCGTTTCGAAGGGGCACAAATGCTCAAAAGTGAGTTGTGTGAACCACGCACAGCTCCTTACTTTGAAGAAGCATGGAAAGAATAACAAGCAATTGCTAGCAAAATGAAGTTGGCACAATCAGGCTGTTGGAATGCTCTCATATCCAATCTCATAACTCATGAGTCATTACTGTTCCTAGATTGCAATACCTTAGAAATCATGTACTTTTTCCTGTTTCATGACCAAATTTTCTCTTGTTAATAGGGTCATAAGCTCGATATTGTTTATATAAACAATATGGCATGCCTTTCTCTCAAGTTGTGCAATAGCTCCCTTCATATTGAACCTGGATTTTGCTTGCATTGTGGTTCACATCGTGATCTGGAAGCTTCACATGAAGCCATCAACAAAGCTTGGAGTTATATCAAGAGGTACATGTTTATTTCAACCTAACCTTTACTTTGGCTCATCTTTAACTATATCCTGTAAGGACCATGCTCTCCAAATATTTGCCGAAATATAGACATGCTGGTTTCTTAGTTTGGTTATATTCATGGGAATATTCAATTTTTGACAGGTTGCAGGAAGCAATAGTTTCAAAAGATATCTCAGGTACCACACTTTTAGATGCTTCAAGGGCTCTTGGTATTTTGAGATCAACCTTGCATGCGTATAACAAGAGCATTGCAGAGGTGAATTCCAGTTCTCTACTTCTAGGCACAACTTGATCCATGGTCGTATCATTTTGATAGACTTTTTGTGTACTTTTACCTTTTCTCTACATTTGTTTTCTAGGGCGCAACTTGATCCATGATTGTGTACTTTTCCTGAGCATATATTTAATCTTTGCATTCACCATTGTGATATCGATAGAGATATAATTGTGCAGATACTAAGTTAATGTTAAACTAACTTTAGAGCAATACTGTAGCTGCATTTCATATAGCCATCACAAAAGAGAGAGAGAAGGCTAAATAAATAAATGGGATTACCATCCTTGTTTTCTATGTTCATCCTGTGCAGGCTGAGGACAATCTTGCACAAGCATTATGTTTTGTTAGAGACTTGCAATCTGCAAGGGAACACTGCAAAGCATCAATCAAGGTAAACTAATTTATAGCACTATGCTCTCAGCATTTCATAAATGTTGTCAACACTTCAACAGATTTTTTTTTCCCCAAATATTCCTTGTCTTGATTTCTAATGCTCAAAAAAAAAGTATATACATTTTTTAAGCATGTGCAACAATGGACCGCATTAGTCAAATTGGGGTATCCATTGTAAGCATTTTAGACATGCATGTACATTTCAAATATTTCCATGTGCTTATATCTTTAGTCGAGTCACATCAGGATGCGTCCTGCGATTGCAGAAGGAAAATGATTTTCTCACCCTAAGTTGCACAAAATGTTACTCTGGACATTGACAGCATTTATGCATTGGAACCTAAAATACTTCAAAGGACACATATTTCATGTTGATTGCTGAACTCTGCCTCACTGTCCTCTAAACAACATTTCAATTGATAAGTATCACTGCAATTTATTGGTTTCTAGAAAAAAAATTGATGTGTGATCTTGGTTGATACATCACTTACTGCTCTGATGTAATTTCATAGATATAAAATCCGAGTGACATTTCCTTTGTTTTAATTGAATGTTAGATACTCGAAACACTGTACGATCCTGATCACATTGTCATTGGATATGAACTGGTAAAGCTTGCAAGCATTCAGCTATCCTTGGATGACCCTGCAGCTGTGGACAGCATAAACCATCTGGGCGTAATATTTGAGCGGTATTTTGGACCACATGTAGACTCTATTGTTCCATATCTACGGTGCCTGAAAAGCGTAGCTTTCCAGTAGATGTTGATTTTTGTGTTTATCTAGCTACTTTTGGTTATATGTATATAAAGGCTGTCTTTTGTTGTTTTTTTCCCGTCAGCGATTAGCAGAATCTATTCTTCTAATACTTAGAGACTCAATTTGCAAACCTTCGAAAAAAAAAAAAAGAAAAGAAAAGGGGAAGAAAGAAAGATTAACATCGGAATATTAATTCTGTAATTAATAATTTGTGGGGATGAGAATTTTGCAATGCCATCTGTAATTAAAACACCCTTACGTTATTCACAGAAAAATTATAACACCCTTTGTATTATCATTCATTCATCCAAAGATAAAAAGGATTAATTTTTCTATGTTTTCTCTATAATTTGGATGCAAACTCTTTTACTTCCAGACGTTCCCTCTTTGTATTCTTCAGAATCTATAAATTGAATATAAAGGCGTTTTCTTTACTTTCCTCCATGCATTACTCTAAAAAGAGAATAGAAAACCCTCTCCCCCTCACTGAACCGATTTCTCTCATTCTTTCCGCCTAATTTTCAAGCTCTCTATGGATGGAAACAAATAGCTTGGAATCATTAATGGTATGGACGGATTTTTTTATGATATTCTATTCTGCTCTTATGCTAATTATTTTTCAATATTAAATGTTTTCTATACTTGAATCGGTTTAATCTCCTTCAACTATCTGATTTCAGGTTTTAATTCAAAATTCTTTTTGGGTTTTCTAATTTGTATTTTTATTCTTTTCATTTGCATGCTATCTTTGCCATTCCTTTTTTTTTTCCGTAATCAAGAAGATCCATGTGTACATTTTTTAACTTATCTTGTCAGGTTTTTGAATGGATACTAATAACTTGAATGCAACTTTTAAAGTATTTTCAGCATTCACAATTATCCTTCGTTTTTTTTTTTTAACGAGGACCTTTTTTTTTCAAGGCAAAATATGATTCAAGGAATCTAATTTGATGATGAATATTTATTGAAAGGGAGTTGGATCATCTAGATCAAAGCTTGTCTCATCGGCCATGGTTTGTTGTCCAACTCTGGCAATTTTATAGAGATTTTCTTTCGATCATATTTTACTAATTCAATATTTTTTTTTCTATTCTTTTAAATGAAAAAAAAAAAATCGAGTTTGTCATATAAGATACAGTATGTTAATTTTTTTTCATTGAATGCTTTAGACCTGAAATTAACATGTGAGATTTTTAATCTCATTCATAGTCTTAATTTGAGCATATTTGTTTGAGCATTGTTTATCAATTTGGCGATTAAAGAATAATTTATTGGGTTAATAGATTTGGTCCAACGGTTTGATGTATGGATATATGATTTTAACTTGATTGAACTGAGACGTTATCACTATTTTGAAATGGTTTTGCTATTAGAAGACAAAAAACTAGAGGACAGGAGGAGTTAAATTAAAACGAACTAAATGTGCATTTATAGAATAAAAGATGCAATTGATGGTCATTTTTCCTAAATAAAGTAGAGATGAAGACAAGGGAGAGCAAATAGAAGATGCAAGTAACACTAGAATAAGTAGATTTTTGATGGAAAGTAAGATTAGGTAAAAATCTACTGTTTACCTTTCTAGGTGGTGTTGTTGTTACCAACGGTTCCCGTCACTGCCCAAGTTTGAGTGCTCTTAAAGTGAACTAAGTAGTAGTTAAAAAACGTTTTACCCTTAATTTACAAGTAACCATGCATAAGTGATTGCTACAGCTGCATTTTATACTACGCTTTCTGTACTAGGAAGTAAGTTAAGAGTGAGAGTTATATGGAACTTTGCCGCTAACAAAATTATCGTGATTATCATAGAGTTTGTAGCCTAATAATAATAATTTTTTATAAAAAAATTACGAATTTAAAATTAATTCTGTTAAGAGTCTTGAGTATATAAGTTAAAAAAAATTATCATGATTGAGATTTTGGTACAAGAATCCGAAAAAAAGCCAACTCGGATGGATGGATGCGGTGGAAACGAGCATAATAATTAATACTTGCTTGGAGTACATAAATATCATATGCACATGCAATTTTTTTTTTAAAAAAAATAAGTTAGAGCATAGATGATAGATGGGGAATGACTTCCACTTGTGATAGTTAGGGATCAAAATGGTGCTTAGTTAATGGATCTACCGTTTATTTGTCGCCTGTGGCCTGTTTCCTAGATTTTGGAGTACAGAATAGTAGTAACTTGACCACCTAATAGGCTAATACCCAACTGTCAGAAGTAAAACTTGCACTAAAGTGTTATGGCATATACTTGATGGAATGGACAACAATGATTGTAAAATCTATAATGGTCTGGTTGAGAGCAATAATAATAAAAATTGGCATGCTTACAATAGACTCAAGAAAGAAAGAAAGAAAGAAACCCACCATTGGGCCGTTCAAAAAGATGCTTCTCAATATTATCTTAGTAGCAAAATAATAATTATCAAAGTTGTTGGAAGGGCGGAGGATACGGCAAAACGTCCAAATTAAATTTCTTTTTATAATGATTATGAAAGAGACATGCAGAGGAGATGCTGTAAGAGGTGAATAAGATGATGGCAATATCATTATGGCTAATTAAATTTGCTTGTGAGCATATGTTAGTGGGAATTGTTAGGGCATAGAGTGGCTTCTAAGACAAGACAAAATCAATTAAAAGGAAGCACGATAGGGAGGACTTTTTCGTTGTTTCTCTTGTAGATATGACAGAGCAGCAGCATCCACATTCATTCCTTGTTCCTCAGCAAATGAGGCCAGGCCGGCAACAGTTTTAGACTTGTTTTGTGTCTAGTTGATTGGTGGAGGTAGCCTGACGTTAATTCAATACTGCAGCAGCAATGGGACTGGGCGGAGCCACTGCCCGGTTGCTCTTCTTTCTCTCTTTCTTTGCTTCAGGAATTCATGTCATTTTCTCTGATACAGACCCTCGCGATGGTAATTCTACTGCTTTCCTCGACCCTTCTTCTTCTTCTTCTTCTTTTAAATCCTTTCATATATTTTCTTGCATAAGTCAATTATACATTATGATTCTGATCAATATTTCTCTGACAATTTTCACAAGTTGTAGCTAGCTAGCCAGGAGTGTTCTATTGGGATTATCTCATTAATTTCCCACTGCATGTTGTCACACCAACAGCCACTAGTTGATGATTTTAACAATGGTTTGTGTGATGGAACAGCGGCAGCACTCAAATCCCTCAAGAGTCAATGGGAGAATACACCACCTAGCTGGGACCATTCTGATGATCCATGCGGAGCACCCTGGGAAGGAGTCACATGCTCCAATTCAAGGATCACTGCATTGTCAGTACTGAACTTCCAGATCATGATCAGTAACTTATTATTATTCATAATTGATCTATAGCAAGACCATTCTGATCTTCACTATGTGTTTTTTACATTTCAGGGGGTTATCAACGATGAGCCTGAAGGGGAAGCTAAGTGGTGATATTGGAGGACTGACCGGATTGAGATCCTTGTGAGTTTCCTAATATTTATCTGACCAGAATAAGTTTATTCCAAGCAATTCAAATCATAGTTCTATCTTAGCAAGATTACAAATAACTAAGCATGTTCCACAAAATGGTCCGATGCATGTAATAATCTAGATCTCTTAAATCTTAATATTAAGCCTTGAGGTTATTTTATTGCAGGGACCTGTCATTTAACTCAAACCTCACAGGACCCCTCACCCCACGGTTAGGAGATCTGCTAAACCTGAACATCCTGTAAGCTGGAACACCCATTTTTCTATTTGTCCGGCCGGCTTATACAATTCTTCCATGAATATCAAAGCAAGTGTATTTTATGCGTCTTTCCTGCACCTTTTCAGAATCCTTGCTGGTTGTGGCTTCAGCGGCATTATTCCAGATGAGCTGGGCAATCTTGCTGAGCTATCCTTCTTGTAAGAGTTGTTAAACTAGTTACAATTATGAATACATAAGAATCAACAGGAGTACTACATCTTCCCTCTATTCAACACTGCGCTTCTTCACAGGGCTCTCAATTCAAACAACTTATCCGGTGGAATCCCTGCTTCTCTGGGTAAACTCTCCAAACTCTACTGGCTGGACCTTGCAGACAATCAGTTGACAGGAACTATCCCAATCTCCAAAGGCACCACCCCAGGCTTGGACCTGCTACTACATGCTAAGCACTTGTGAGTAAATTTTTCCTAAACACCTTTAATGTGAAAGAGGAGTAAGCATTGTACTTGAATGCGTCTAGTAGTAAGAATTGTACTTGAATGTGTCTAGCAGTTTGATTAATTAAATGCATATTGCACAAATGATAGCTAATTTTTTTTTTCTAAATTTGCAGCCATTTCAATAAAAACCAGCTTTCAGGTTCCCTTCCACCTGAACTTTTCAGCTCAGATATGGCACTCATACACGTGTAAGTTTGTAAGGGGACAATGTTTTTGTTTCTCTCGTTATGTTCTTTTACCGCAGTTCTGCCCTTCTAATTGCTTGTGATTCTTTAATGATAGATTGTTCGACGGGAACCAACTCGAAGGAGATATTCCTTTCACTTTAGGCCAAGTTCAGACACTTGAGGTTCTGTGAGTAAAACCGTCCCAGTTTTGTCTTCCTTTCTTAAATAATAATACTCTCTGCGAGCTCAATTGGGAATCTGATTCATTCTGTTTGCTGCAGTCGACTAGACAGAAATTCTTTTTCTGGGAAGGCCCCAAATAATTTGAACAACCTCACGAACCTCAACGAATTGTGGGTACTTTTACTAGCACAGTTTAACAAGGCAGTGGTTTCAGTCTGTTAAACATAATGATTCTTAACAACGTTTTCCTCCCTAACATGTTTCTTTCAGGAATTTAGCACACAATAAGCTGATAGGCTCTTTCCCAAATTTAACTAAAATGGACGCCCTCAATTATTTGTAAGTCAATTAAATGGAAGCTCCCTTCTCTCTTTGAAGTTATTCGTTTGCCATGTTAATGAATCCGGATCCATAATTTATTTTTACAGGGATCTTAGTAACAATACTTTCGACACTTCAGA